AAATATCTTCTATATATATATATATATATATATATATATATATATTGTATGATGTTCCAGTGCGCGTGGGTGGATGAAGGGATCGTGGAATACACGTGTATTCATCGACGCAGGCAATATTCTTAGTTCAGAGACAAACACACTTTGGCTCACATAACAACACACTCACTAAGTGCGACTGAAGCTCATAGCATATGCCATCGTAACAACGTAGCAATCACAGGAAAACTATGGACAAAATCGCTCAACTTCTGAGCTAAAAGTGTGCATCATATATTATGGACGTATATGCCCCAGAATATAATTGGGAAAGACCAATTGTAACTATCACTCATGCTTTCATTTAGAACAATACTTGTGCGCATATCATTCACTCTCTCATTCAGTGCGAGTATATCACTTACTTTCTCACTCAGCAGAAAAAATGGGAGACGATCGGTTCAGCACTAGTTTTAGAAACAGGTTGTATGCATACCTTTCAAGTTACAAGAGAATATGTTCGCTGGACGCCCCTCGGCATGATCGCTTGTGAAGTATATGCGCTGGCCCACCCACACCGGACTGCACTTGGGAATGTCTTTTAATACGGGCAGCTGCAATACAGACGTGGACAAATATTAGATGGTCAAGGCAAGGGTTGACATATATGCCTAGTGGGGTGCAGTAAGTACTGGCCAATTATTGAACAGGCTGCTGGCATACAAAAGTGGACGAATCTCAGACGGCATGGCAACGATTGGTACATACGAGTGTAGTGTGGTGCAGTGGGTATTGAGATTACCACTAACTTCTGGCAGGCACAGTAGCTTCGCAAAACTACAAACGAAAGGTAGACATACGGATTGAATCAGGTAGTGGGATGAAGTATGGATGCCACTCTGTCCTGGGTATATAAGTTGCTGTGGGGTGTTTGATGTTTGTGACGATTGCTTCTTGTGGCACACTGACCGTTCAAGCAGTTTATAGACCGACATGCAGCGGGTGAGATATAAAAGCGTTGCGCATGCGATTCAGAGGCTGAATACGCACTTGCTAAAATAAAACCTTAAAACCCTAAATCACACATACGCATATATGCCCAGTACGACTGCACACACGTGATTGGGACGCCATCAGTGAGACATGCAGACGACATACATCCAGCCGACAAACAATACGAGCTGCGTGCAACACCATACACACCGACAAGAAAGTGCAAAAAACACAGTAGAGATACGCGGACGAGTAAAACGTTTAAAAAAATTAACGCAGAGTGGACAAATAGCGTCTCACGGGAACCAATAAGACTCCTGCTTCGATACCATTTGAAAGTTGCCCAGGCCACTCTGGTCAAGCCAGATCTCACCCACGCGTCCGCCTCTGTAGCGCTTCCACTCAGAGATGCAGATGTCGGCTGTGTGTCGACCCAACATCATACCCAGAGGCCTGTACAGGTGCCACGATCGAAGTTGAGTATTCAGGGGTTAGGGTTTAGGGTTAGGGTTGAGTTTAGAGGTTTAAATGCAGATGTCGGCTGTATGTCGACTCAGCATCATACTTAGAGGCCTGTGTACACGTGCCACAACAGAAGTCGAGTATTCAGGGTTTAGGGTTTAGGGTTTAGGGTTTGGAGTTTAGAGGTTTAGATGCAAAATGTCTGCTGTATGTCGACTCAGTATCATACCTAGAGGCCTGTACACGTGCCGCAACCGCAGTTGAGTATTCAGGGGTTTAGAGATTTCGAGTTTTAGGGTTTATGGTTTGAGATGCAGATGCCAGCTGTGTGTCGACTCAGCATCATACCTCTAGTAGAGGCTTGCACAGGTGCCACGACCAAATTGAAAAGCGATCTGGGGCATACCACTAATACTATTGTATGTGTATATGTGCATAGTATGCATGAGCATGTTTACTTTTGTATGTTTACTATAGGAATTGGACATGCGATGAAGGGGAGTAGGTACTAGATACTAAACGGGAGATAAGTTTACAGCTAGTAGCGCTAGACACATAATCGAGCCGTTCAATGGGGTAGACCACAGTCTATGAGTACGTATACCAAGAGAAGCAACCGCCGTGTATAGCAACATGCATGAGAGTTGTTCATGTGCAAAACGAATGTTCTTCGTATACCCACTAAGCCATGATTAAAGTCATATAGGGCTGTGGTGTATAGCAACATGCATGAGAGAGTTGTTCATGTGCGAAAAGAATGTTCTTCGTATACCCACTGAGCCATGATTAAAGTCATATAGGGCTGTGGTATATAGCAGCATGCATGAGAGAGTTGCTCATGTGCAAAACGAATGTTCTTCGTATACCCACTGAGCCATTATTAAAGTCATATAGGACTGTGGTATATAGCAACATGCATGAGAGAGTTGTTCATGTGCAAAACGAATTTTCTTCGTATACCCACTGAGCCATTATTAAAGTCATATAGGGCTGTGGTGTATAGCAACATGCATGAGAGAGTTGTTCTTGTGCGAAATAGTGTTCTTTGTATACCCACTGAGCCATTATTAAAGTCATATAGGGATGTGGTGTATAGCAACATGCATGAGAGAGTTGTTCTTGTGCAAAACGAATGTACTTATGCCAACTGGCATAAACCGAGCTGATCCTAGATAGACCCTGTGGGGCGGCTTTCAGGGCACACTAACGCTGACCTTGGTTGTCTTCTCGAGTCAAGATGTACAACTACATGCTGTATACAAAGGGAAGAGCCGGAACACTCTAAAACCCTAAAACCCTAAAACAATATTGGTGGTTGTGCGGAGTCTGGGGGAGTTCCAGTAGTTGGCGGACATATATGCGTTACAAACAGATTCCCAGTTTAATCGATGTTGAACAATGTCGAAGGATATATCTCAAGTTTGCCAGCAGACACGAGTGCAGGTATGCATACCGCATGTTAACAACCGTACTACAGTCGCATACGATCACGGCTATCAGGCGGATCGGATACGAGCACACGGTAATCGGCATGCAGTAGAAACACACGACGATACAACAATACAACACAGCAATGTATGGAAAGTGCTGATATAGACCACAGTTCATAAGACAACATGGCACATATGCAGCCTTCATCTCCACATTATCTCCCACACCACGTGCACATGACCTCAGATGTCACTTGCAAACAGCCCACGCCGGCACGACAGAATGTATGCCTAAGATGGAACGCGCTGACCCCTGCGGAACTTCTCCAAGGTCACCGATGCGTACACTCATTGCAGTCTGCACAAGTAGAACCAACATCAGCACATACCCTGTAGCGTCTTTGTTAGTCTTGCCGTCCTGGTTCGGTTTCCGCCGGGCCTCAAACATAAAGTGATCTGCTGAGCCAAACCCGATTTTGGCCACGCTGCCTCCCCTCATGCCCACATGGTACACCTCACTGGTGTGTGGCATGGTCTGACACACACACACACACAATCCATACAAGCACCAACGAATGAACAGGGTGAGAAGTGTGTACATGTCGAACAGAGAATACGAGGTAACGAGTGATGATGTGTGAGCTTCCGTGTGTATAGCTGTCGGGTATAGCGGCTTTCCAGTCAGCGTTGTATTGCCTTCCTACTGGGGGGTGAGTGTACTTTGAGCACTACTAGTGGACGAGTGCACTAGTAACATGACAGATTTCAGCAATCATGGGAGGTAGATATACATCATCCTACTTGCGGCATAAACGCAGAAACATTGAATCAGGGACATTGCTGTACGAGGCCACCAAAGTCACTGGCGAATAGCAATCTATTAATAGACTGCCATCCATGGAGATTCTCAAGGCTATTACGGTACAAGAAAATCATTTGTACTTTGAATGGTTTTTCCTGGTAGCCAAACCAAGATTAAACGAAGCAAGCGTACCAGCTTACCGACAAAGAAAGGTTTGTGTCAAAATCAGCTGTGCTGACATATCATCGTATGATACAGTACTACACTCGTGATCTTAGTCGTGAGTCCACTTGAAGAACTGCTTACGTTCCAGTTCAACCACACATAAATACCACAGATCAAAATTCACATCTAGCATCACATATAACTTAGAACATACAAGATCACAGATAACAAATGATATCACACATAGCATACAACATAGCAGACGCATACGAGATACATATTGTGATAAATACAACATACAACATTACAACACCGTACAACACGTAACATTAAGTATCACATATAACACCACACACGCATCACATGTAGCACCAAATACAACATACAACATTACAACATCATACAACACGTAACATCAGGTATCAAATATAACACCATACACGCATCACATGTAGCTCCGAATACAACATACAACACCATGTAACCCATAACATCCGGTATCACATATAACACCACACACGCAACACATAAAGCGTCACATATAACATAGTATCACATGTAGTATCACATATATCATCACATTTAACATACAACATCATGTATCACATAGCATAATATTCACCTACCTGGTTATGCGACGTTGTGAACACTATACGCTCGCCGTCCCCAGTCCATGTGAGCGCGCGAGTACGAAATGCGCCTAGATAGGTTAGACGCTTGGCAACACCCCCGCACGCACGCATCACATACAGCTCCTGGTAGCCTGTAGAGAGAGGGATATACACATGTCCTTACGTTTAGCTTGGATACTATAACCCGATTTATGTTCTTCTATTGTATTGTACAACTTACGATCAAAGCATGAGTGCAACGCCGGAATGCATTCACGGAGGCTGTATGCAGACTATCAAGAAGGTTTCAGGAAACCTGATTGTTGGAAAGGTGTGCGGAATGGTACAGTGCCGCAGTACACTTCGTGTTAAAAACGGGAAAATGATCGATAAAGCGCTTTCCTTGGGATGTATGATATATA